GAGCAAAACAGAAAATAAAGGAGTACTCAAAATGAAGGGTGTCTCGTCCCAAGACAAATTTTACTTATGACTACCACCTAGTTAAGACCAGTAAAAAACGGTGTCTTACCTTGCCAGTGTCGTCCCATAGTAAAAGCATAGGATGATAGGTCGGCATTGCCCGAGGACGCTAGACCCAAACCCAATTTTGGGGGAAACTAATATTCCAAAAAGAAGAGGCCAAAACAGTTCTGCATTAGAGAATAGGTCGAAAGCGAGACCTGGGAAAGTTCAGGGAGCGCTGACAGGAGAAACTTCTCTGCACAAATATGTAGCCGAGACTGCTCTATTGCCTATGCACTGGAATCCCTGGGGTCGTCCGGCTGGATCAACAATCAAAGTCTGACTGCGTGTAATAATTAATAAAGACGTTTTGCGTTCTCCAGAAGCCAGCCTGTACGAGGTGGGATCAATAAGATCTCGGCCTCCCTCATAAAATGTTACAGAAGGAAGATTTTTCTTACACAATTTTTCAACATAGTCCCCTCTAAGTTCAATGCACTTTGTCCATCTATGTTCCAGTTTTCCTATTCCCTGCTGGAAGGTTTTATCTTGATCCAGTTTGGATAACATCATCATCAGTCTCAAAACGGTGAAATCCGATGGTGCCAGGTCAGGTGAGTAGGAAGGGTGAGGTAAGAGTTCAAAACCACATTCGGTTGCTGCTGCCACTGTCCCATGTGCTGTGTGGACAGGTGCATTGTCCTGGAGCAACAGCACACCAGCTTTCCTCTCCTTTTCTCTTTGATTGCTGTTCTTAAATGTCGCAGTTCTGAAGCATAGTACTCTCCATTGATTGTTTGATCCTTTTGCTAGTAGTCAATCATGATGACTTCCTTGTTGTCCCAGAACACAGAGGCCATCATCTTGCCGACTGACGCCACTCGCTTGAACTTCTTGAACATTTGGGGCACCCACCTTGCAGACAGCTTGCTCATCCCCAAGATGTTTGACAAAACATTTTGAACTGTGCCATAACTGATGCCTAGTGAATGCCAGATATGTCGGATAGTGGCACGTCTCTCATTCATTACCATGCGATGGATGGCCTCAACCTGATTGTTCCCAAAAGAGTTCTCAATGGTGGGCGACAAGGCTGACCTATAGCCGATTGCTGCATAGGATAAACCTAACTCATCAAACAGATGGAGTCAAAGGCTGTGTTGGTGGAACCCCTATTCGCCCTGGCCAAGATGTTGGCAGACCGCTCAGATAAACCTTCTGTCTGTGTGAGTCTACTGAGTGCCTCCATTTGTGTAAGTTGTACACTGCTGGGTTCATTGGTAGTGTGCCGTTTGGTTGGGACAGCAGATACGATATCCAGAAGCACTACCGATGTCTCGACTAACATTTCAAACAGTAGTGGAAACCAGGCCTTGGCTGGCCAATCGGCACCACCAGCGTCAAGATACAGGTGGGCTCCTATTGAAGTTTCTCCAGTACCTGGGGAATCAGGGGGAAGGGAGGAAAGGTGTATGCGTCCATGTGGGTCCACGGGATCGATAATGCGTCCATGGCCAATGCTCTTGGAGTCGACAGGAGTGTAACATACATCAGGAGCTTGGCAGTCCAGGGTGTGGCGAATATGTCTATCTTGGGACCGTATCACAGTCGAAACAGTCTGGAGGCTACCCATTGGGGTACCTGCCATTCCATGTTCTGGAAACGGAGTTGCTGTGAGCGTCCACTTGACTGTTCTGCACCCCTGGAAGGTGGTGTGCAGTTAGCTCCACATTGCTCCGCCAGAGCTGACAGCGACGAGGATTTTTCCCCCCTCCTTGTTGATGTAGGAGACCACCGCTGTGTTGTCCGTGCGAAGCAAGACTCTGTGGACGCAAACTATGGGGAGAAAGTGTGTGTGCTTTCAGTTTGAGTCAATTGATATGGTGGCCCTGAATCCAATGCAATATTCCTTGGGCTTGAATTATTCGTCTATTAGGTGTGCTCCCTAACCTGTGAGGTAGGCAACGGTGATCAGAGTCATAGCCGTGGCGAGAGGATCCAAGGGGATCCCATGCCTGAGGTTGGCAATTGCCATCCACCAGGGCAAGGCATCACTCCCTTTGTCCAAGAGAGTTACTAGTACTCGCCTCTCCAGTTGCACTGGCACAGGGCCTCTAATAAGAAAATGTTATCCTACCAGACACCACGTCTTTCTGTTACCAACGGTCACATGAGGAGTACCTAAGAAAACTTGGTCAAACTGCTGACTGAATCACACCATTTTGCTCCGATGCACACTTGGTGCAGAGAAAAGAGAGTGAACATAAGGCAAGATGGCACTGACCTCTTGACCTTGGTCATGTGAAGTGGAAGAAAATCTATAAGGGTCTATGAAGAAAGTCATGGGGCTTCCCCTGACCTAGATTTCTCTCTCCATCATTAGCTAAATCGCAGACTAATGCCTACAGTTCCAAATAGTCATTTTGACTGATCGGAGTCTGTGATGGGTAATTGAACGTAGTGAATTGCCAAAAAATCTGATGTGCATCAGTAATAGCAAGGTCAAGAACAAGTTTGAATGAAATCAGCCTAGGTATGCCTAAAAAACAGTTGATGACATTTTCAAATTTCAAGGCCTGTCCCAGAAATTATGTCGGACGAATGGACGGACAGAAGAAACCCAACCCAAAACACAAGTCCCTGCTAATCAGCGTTCACCTTGTAATATACAGTTGTACTTTTTTGTTGACTACTCATGTGTACACAAATTTACCAACAAGAAAGCCACATCATATCTTGAGAATTATAAATTATATATACAGAACACTGTTCAGATGAAATAATCATTTTTATTATAAACAGCAAGGTAACCATCACCTCAAGCCAGTTATAAGTAGGAATATGTGAATATCTGGTGAAATAGGTGATTATTCATTACAACACAAAAAGCAGTGTGCAAAGTTTAATTTTCCTATATATAATATTGAAAATATAAATATTGGAGATGTTTAAAGTAATCCAATTAATGAACAAACCTGAAAAGTTGGAACAATTTTGAGCTCTTAAATTATGTGCAAGGCTGCCAGATCCTGATGATTATTAGACATATTTTTGGAAAGCAAGTTGAATTGGAAAACCTTTTAATCATTATTTCATAAATTACTATAAATATTAAATACAGGGAAATTTATCTAAGCTTGGATATCTGCATCAGAAATATTTGTAACAATTAAAATCTAGACACGAGACACCTATTATGTCAATAAGAGAAAGAAATTATTGTCCAATACAAACGTTGGTTTCACCACTAGTGTGGGAAAATAAACAACCAGAATAAACTAGTAAATGGGACTTTTGTTTTTGTTTGCAATTGACAACATATATATTTATTTACATGCAGTTATTGCAAATATACTAGCATTTTACATCCAGCCGGTGAAAAATAGGTATTTCTATCATTACAAGTATGTTGATGTTCAACAAATTTAATTATAGACTCAGGCAGACCATGCTAAGAAGGGTATTAATCTCCAACCATAATTACATGTAGCAATGGCGGTGGTCTGGAAGTGTAACCATAACAACCATGGTCAACTATGAACTACCAACTATATACAATGTATAGAAAAACAGACATAAGTGATATTTTTATGTATTTACTTCACCAATTACAACATGAAAAAAAAACTAGTTTATAGTCGAAAGCTGGTTTGCCTGGGAGTAGAAACATTGCTCATGAATTTCAAAAACAAAGTACAAATTATAATTAAAATTCAAAATTAATAAATCAATAAATAATGAGAAATCAACATACAGTTTTAGTCAGTTGGAACTGAAAATGTCTAAATACAGAAAATTAAAATGCGATGCACTAAAAGAACTAAAGTTGAAAGACCAAGGTATGCAGAGTAAAGTTGGTCTACCAATCCTGAGTGTGTTCCCTCAAAGTATCAATGACCAGCCTGGTGAAATAAAACACTTTTCAGCTAGACATGTCATATAGAGGTATAACATCACTGAGAATGGGTGAAGCAGCTTAAACTGAAATAAAAAAAACAGAGATACATCACATTAAAAATTGTCAGTGTCAGATGATAGTAAATCACTTATGGACAAATGAGGATTGTTCAATGACAATGAACTGTCATGTGCCGCGCATATGTAGTTGAATCACTAAAATTGTAATGAGCAACCGCAATCCAGTATTTTGAATTATTCTACCAAGTTTGAACAACATCATGCAAGCAATCTCAGAGAAACAGTTGTTAAAATGACATTTTTTGTTGGACTGAGAACTTTTCAACTGTTGCCTAATTTAGAATTTATTGGCAATCAAGGCTTTCATGCTTGCCTGACACCTAATTAGAGTGATGTCTAAATAAGAATACTTGTGGTACTTGTGTACAAACTTTCAACTGAATCAGGCGATATATTAGCGAGAATCAACATATAGGTAGTCATGAATAAAAACAAAATGGCCACCTATCAGCCATTTTTATTCAAATCTCAAAAAAATATGACATGCACCTGTATCCCAATATGCATGATCCTAGTACAATGTTTAAATAAAATTCATCTGTTCATTCCCAAAAAACAGTTCCCGACAAGCATCTTATTTTAACAAATTTGAGTATACTAGATCACTGATACATGTATGTTCACTTTTTGTTTAATTTCTTGAAAATGCTCAATTACCTATGAAAACCAATGATCAGCAGTCAAGTATTCATTATCTGCTTGATAATGCATTCTCAATTCCAGCAAAAATCTTCTCATACTTGGCTTGAGTGTCAACATAGCCATCTCCATTCTAAAAAAATAAAGTCAATGATGTGAGTAGTTTATCAAAAATCTTAATTGTTTGATGAATGAAACCAATTTCCTAGTTATCATTTACCTCTGTCACAAAAATAAAACAATTTAAAGCAGATTATCAGATACATAAATCTTCATTAGTTTTTTGGCTTTTCAGTACAGCTTCAAATATATGGATTGTTACTATGGTCTGTCCTAACTGTGGACAAACTGCAAATTACTTTTTTTATTTATACTACCTGACAACACCAATACATACACAAAGACATAAACCATTTGCACATTATGTGCTGGAATTACCTACCTTCTTGGAGTGAATCAACTTCCCACTTGCTTCAATTTCCAACCACCCTGTTATTGTGGGTGTGGCTTTAGTACTCTGTAAAAATAACCCACATTTTACGATCAACATTTATGGCACTATTTGCAGTTGCTAAAACTAAAAATTCCAGTAAATTAAAGTAAAATAAAAAATATGAAAATGAATAATTATATATACATGTACAATATAAAAAAAAAAAAAACGAAGCCTAAAGTAGGATGGCGGTTGTCGTGCCACGTACTGTTTGATATGGAACTCGTAGGGACGTACACAACACATATAAAACACAATGTTTACATGAAATTTGAACATGCACAGTGCGACAACCACTGCCCTTCAATTATAAGCAACACAGTTTAAGCAATTTATTTTGTTACACTTCATAACTAACACACAAATTATATGTAGTACTTACAATGTCCAGGATACCAGGGAATTTTTTCTCAAGATCCGCTTTTATTTTGCGAACCTAATAAATAAAAATTGATTACAATCATAAACTGTGTTTTTTTCAATGACTATTCAGGAATCCTCCATAGACCTGGATACATGATAATAAAGCTTTGAATATTACCGAATATATATCTGGTTTTAGCCATTAGAGAACAGTTAAATTTGTTAAAAAGTAAAAAGAATGAATTGCAGCCACTAAAAGTGTAAAAATGAATTTTCAAAACATTTCTCAAGAGGGTAAAAGTTAGATCAGCTTCTGTTCTGTGAACAAATTACAGTTTTCAACAAACAATGCGAAAACAAAGGGCTTTACCTGTAATTATGTAAATGGGCAATTTTCCAATAGTGAAAATTATTTCCTGTTTATTTTATTCCTGTAACTTATTTCAAGTTTACTGAATGTGCATTGTGTAAGATGATAAATTAAGCCCATGTCATTTCCCAAATTAAATATGCAGTAAACAGACATTTAAAATTAAATGTAAAATAATAGATAAATCTAAAGTGCAAAGAACACAGATAATAGAAATAAATTTGTGCAATTAAAACAAGTGTCTTTACCTTGGATCCATATCCTCACCCGCCTCTGAAAGAAAATAGTCAAAAATTAAATTAGTGTCTTTGACATACCAAATTATCCTAATAATTGCTAATTAATATACAAACCATGTTGATAGCTACTCCTGTATATGCTAAATATTGTGAGTCTACAGTACAGTCCTTGGTTAAGCTGTAATGTACACGTTCTTAGATAATGAAGTGACAAACAGTGCAAAACAGTGTGACAGCATTATTTTCAATGATTTTTTTATTTGTTAATACCTTGTTAATGGTTAGCCAAAATGACCTTTGTTATACCATATACACACTTTAAAACACGTATTTAAAACTAAAAAAAAAATGCAATAAATTTGTACCTCCAATTTCTTCCATATTTCATGTGCTTTGGGAAGGTCTCATTTCAATTTTGTGTCAGTAATCACAATGAATTTTTAATGTTCCACAGCAGCGCGCACCAAGCCCATAGAAATGCCCATAGCTCCGCCCCCGAGGATTGGATTGTTTGAGCTATTACTTATAAAAAAAATGGTGGTATTTTCTTTGTCCCTAAGGAGTCATATTTTTTAATGCACATATTTTTTATATGGTTTAGTTCAAATCAAAGTGGCTAATTTATGTAGAATTCTCAAAATCACTCCATAATGACAGGCATTGTCCGGTTGCTAAGCACCTATCTAACGACTGTGTACTTAAATCTAGAGTAGTGCACAACAAAAGAATATACCAGTAATACCATGACTTTGCAAAAAAAAGTGTTTTATTGGGTTTTTTTAAATTTACCCGTATGAAGGAGTTTTTTTTTTTAATACGCATTTTGACATTAATATAAAATGTTTTTTTTTTTTTGCTTAACGGACAATTTAGTAATAATAATGGAAGTGACCAGTTTATGCAGAATTCTGACAGTTCTTCCCAGAGTGATCGACGCATGAAGACTAATTACATGAACAACCTTGTTACCGTAATATTATGTACAGCACATCCGGGTTTGTATATACATTCCGTTATTTTTAACTGGTGCAGCGATGTAAACTTCTCTCAAAGAAAATAACTTACCAGTAGGTTATTTTGACTTTTAAATTCATATTTGTCCGTTTTCTTCTTCGCAGTCTCCGTCTGTCAGATACACACAGCTAAGGAAGAACGTAAACTTGAGCCAAAGGAAATATGTGGGCGATATGGCGGCGTAATGTGTTCACGTGATTTATAGGTAATGAACAAACGACAGCTTAGAGGGTCTCATAAGAAAGGAGGCGCGCCATTTTCAAGATTCGTATGTTTGCGGGGAACTCGATTGTAACATAACTTCGCTATAATTTTGAGCCGGCATCATGCAATCAGACGAAACATTTAAAGTGTATGCAGTAATGTCAGTGCAAGACACGCCGAAAGAATTGTTCAGGTAATTCATGATAGAGTAATTTAATTACGAATTGTTTATACGGGGTTGTGGACTCGTCGCCCGATCAGGACGGTCAGGCCAGGTTAGGACAGGACAGTCTACTACGTTGCGGACTGTGGTGCAAACCTAGACGTACAACGTTTGGAGGGATTTGTAGGTACATAGAGTGAATGATTATATATATATTGATCATTGTAGTTACAGATATCTTAAAATTTAAAGACACGCGTACGGTCGTCAGGGCGATGCGTTATTTATATGGGCGGGTATTACCCGCTGATAACAATTCGTGTATGTGCATGTTACTACATTTCCCTCTTTGTTTATATGGGTTCCCTTTAATTTTGTTACTACAACTCTATAGACATAACTGGATCAGCAATTAATTCCCATCACCGATTATGTGCAGTGTCACAACATTTTGGCTAATTTTTAACAAATCCAAAATCACTCTGGATAATTATGGTTACTTTGTATGTGAACTATGTTTGCATTTGAAGTTTTGATGATCTGAGCAATTCAAATCAAAACATATATATATATATATATTATATATATATATATAT